AGCACCAGTGCGACAGCCCCAGATCAGGCCCTGCCGTCCTGTCCCAGTTCTTCTCCTGAGACTCCTGGTCCATAGACAGCGGAAACCACCTTCGTACTTAAATGACTATGTTAGATTTTAGCCTTTGCGTCGTTACGTTTTATCCTGCAGCGATAAGTTTTAACTTGCAGTGACTGTTAGGCCTTAGTCTGTTTGTTATCAGGTTTTGTTTTCCATTATGACACTATATCTTTCGTCTCGGTTCTACCTTTTAGGTAGTTTGCATTCATTTACGCGGAAGAAGAGGTTGCGCCAACAGGCAGTGCCTGCGGCATTGTGTTATATTATATGCGCGCGCCGGTTTTCCCTCGTGTGTGTGATTATCGCATCCATCTTGTTGTACGAGCGATTCCGTTGACATTAAAGCTGTTAGAGTTCCTTCGTTGTGACGTTCCTGCCTCCTCAACATTGGCGCAGGCCCCGGGGCGCAGGCTTTGCACGGGAGTTTACGACGAGCGAGACAATGACAAGGGAGCGATCTCACGATTTTTGTCAGACACGTCCGTTAACGCGTCGGGTAGTATTCTGTACTTGTACGAGCGCATGAACGCCTGAAGATGCAAATTTAGTGTTTTGTGTAATACGTTATGGGTATGAGAGAACAGGAAAATAGAAAGAGGAAGGGTGCAGCTAAATCTTGCCAATCTCTCGATACAATTCAATGGGTCAGTAAAGTACCCCGTCAAGAGCTATCAGACGCTGATAATGACAATGCAGTCTGCGATGACAGCCCAGCTGAAACCACGACTTCAGATCTATCTCAGTTAACTACAGTTTTACAGCGAGATATAAACGGTAAATCATACTCATTTTCGCAATGTCCACCAGTCTTGATCCCATTATTATGCTCTGAGATTTAGTCGCTACACCCACGGAGGCTGGAGCTCGGAACTGTTCTGACGGATTAGTTCCGCAGTATTTTGATGTATCATTTTACATCGTAAAATTACTCCTTTATAACTAAATTCAAACAGTTGTATTCGAAAAATGTAATATTCAGTTCCTACCGTTTTCTTTGCTGTTACAATTTCTCATGTATTGCTACTTTCCTAAATAAACGGATCCCACGATAAAAAATGCATTTCCGTAGTTGGGTCCGCTTTGGCCTCGTTAGCACCCCCCCCACATAAAATCCTGGTTACGGGCCTGCAGTGTAAAACGAAGACTGCGGACTGCAGACTGCAGACTGCGGACCAGGGGTAAAATGCAGATAGAGTGTAAAATGCAGACTGCAGACTGAGGGTAAAACGCAGGCTGGGTGCAAAATGCAGAATGAAGATTGTAGACTCCACAAACAATTGTGCTCCTTCTTCTCCAAATAGCTAGCTGGTATCAGTTACACACCTCGCTTCCTAGTCAAAGTTAGTACATTGCATATTCTCCAAAAGTTCAATGAACATCCAAACAGCTAAAGTCTGCGTACCTTGATTTTCAATCCTTTCATAGAAGGTCATCCAAATTTCCTGCAGAACATCTTCTTTTGTTGTTGGAATGATTTACTCTCTTTTTTGTCGCCATAATTGTTTTGAATTCTTTCTGTACAGTATTTTGGGTCAGCAGCTTTTATTTAAGCGTAAACATCGTGGTGTTGTACCAATTCATGGTCACACGTATCGAAAAAGTTGAAGCGTGAGGTCTCTCGGACGGAAAAAAGTTCAAGATTGCGATTACTAGTATGTTTTCGGGTCGTGAAGACGTTCCTCAGAAGAAAGGAATGGATTTGTGAAAGCAGATGTCAAGTAAGTGTTCCTTTACATGTATTTGCGGGATTGTTTTGCCCTTAAACCCTTCCGCGACTACAGTTTATGCTCGGTCTGCATTTTACCCCAACCTGCATTTTACTCTGGGTCTGCAGTCTGCATTTTACCCCTGGTCCGCAGTCTGCAGTCTGCAGTCCGCAGTCTGCGTTTTACACTGACCGCAAAATTTTCTTGAGATGGATTCATTATTTCACACAGTATTAATGGACGACAAATCGCTCAATGTGGACATGTTCGTTAATTCAAACGGTCATAACTTTTGAAATACTGAAATCGTACTCGGGTTCTTGCAAATTCTTGTCAATTAAGGAACAATCTTTTCCGCTCTATAGTCTAGAATAATCAACTCTGTCCCAAAAAGTAGAAATATGCTTCTAAACTAAGGCCATTTTTGGCCGGTCAGTGTAAAACGCAGACTGCGGACTGCAGATTGCAGACTGCGGACCAGGTGTAAAATGCAGACTAAGTGTAAAATACAGACTGCAGACTAAGAGTAAAACGCAGGCTGGGGTAAAATGCAGACCGAGCATAAACTGTAGTCGTGGAAGGGTTTAAGGGCAAAAAAATCCCACAAATACATGTAAACGAACACTTACTTGATGACATCTGCTTTCACAAATCCATTCCTTTCTTCTCTGGAACGTCGTTGACGACCCGACAACATAATCGCAATCTTGAACCTTTTTTCCGTCCGAGAGACTTCACGCTACAACTTTAGATGCGAAGTTTTCGGTATACGTGACCAGGGACCGTGAACAGTGGTACAACACCACGATGTATACGCTTAAATGAAAGCTGCTGACCCAAAACACTGTACGGGACGAATTATGGCGATAAAAAAGGGAGGAAGTCATTCCAACAACAAACAAAGATGTTCTGCAGGAAATTTGGATGACCTTCTATGAAAGTATTGCAAATCAAGGTACGCAGACTTAAGCTGTTTGGATGTTCATTGAAACTTCTGGCGAATGTGCAATTCACTTGGACTAGGAAGCGAAGTGTGTAACTGATATCGGTTAGCTATTTCACCGATTTCAAGAAGAAGGAGCACAAATGTTTAAAAAAGTCTACAGTCTTTATTCTGCATTTTACCCCAGCCTGCGTTTTACTCTCAGTCTGCAGTCTGCATTTTACACTCAGTCTGCATTTTACCCCTGGTCCGCAGTCTGCAGTCTGCAGTCCGCAGTCTGCGTTTTACACTTACCGCATTTTTGGCTGTCTGTTCGATGGCATTTTATAGGGGTCATATTTTGGTTGATTTCATCTTTCTGGGTACGTTTACGGAGAAATACTTAATATCTAGAAAAACTGAAGACATTTATCAGTAAATAGGTGTTAAATTTATTTCGAGATGTTGCGAATAACAAATTTTACAGCACTCCAAAAAATGCAAAATTTTTAATTTTTGGGCCCCGCAATATGGCCATGGCGGGCAAAAAAAAATCGTGCTTCTTAGCGCGGCCAGAAAATAACTTTGAATCAAAGCAAACCTATTTTAGTTATAGTCCCAATAAAGGCTTTCATCCACCAGAGTTTCAGGCAAAATTATTTTTCACGCGAAATTGAGTGGGCGGTTTTTACTGAGAGTGCCTCTTAAAGCACGGATGGTTTTCATTTGGACTAAACATGCTAATTAGCTTAGAAAAAACATGGAGTGCTCAGACCACTTTAAAACAACTGTAAATTTAACAGTTTTATAATTTCGCCTCTGCATTGACTTCCCTGAGAAAAAATCTTTAGATTGTTTAAAGAAAACCCGGTCATATGGACCCTATATTTACCACAGGTCGATGCTCATCTCGAAAACTTTTGAGTGATAGTTAGGGACAGGATATAAGATGTTCTTACTCCAACAACACTAAGAAGTGAAAAAAGTGTAAAAAATGCACTTTATATTGTGACAGAAGAACTATCAACCCGTTAATCTCTCTTGTATGCCTAAAACGAATATTTTGGCTTCATATCTAAACTACTTACTAACTGATGGATAAGGAATGGATTTCTATCAATCGAATCACCCGCGTCACAACAAACTTACCGTTCACCACAAGTTGCACCAATGCATGCGCCTTTCCCAAGATGTTGATCGCTGAACAGTTATATTTTCCCGCGTCATTTCCTGCCACGTTGTTTAACAGCAACGTTCCTCCTGATACCATTGAAGGACTTAATTGTGACTCACTGTTCATTTTACTCCATTGTATTGCGGGTTTAGGATTACCACTCACTGAACACTGAAACGAAGCTGATCCACCCTCGTTCACTGTCAGTGTTTTAGGGGACACAGCAACAACAGGAGCTGAAATCAATTCACCAGGTTCTCCTTTAGCTCCCGGCATGCCTGCAGGACCCAAGTCTCCTTTTTTTCCCTTGAGTCCAACATCGCCCTCTGGTCCCACAGGTCCCATGATTCCTTGCTTACCGGTCTTTCCTGGCAATCCCATAATACCCTGGTCGCCTTTATTCCCAGGTCTTCCCTTTAGTCCCCTTTTACCCCGAGATCCTTTCTCTCCCCTCGGTCCAGGTGGACCGGGAGGGCCTGGGAGATACGTACCACTTTGTGATGTCAGCTCTGATAAAAGTTTATTTATTTTACCCATGGTATTCGCTGCGTTTTTATTTTCCGTCCTGTTCTTGATATTGTCAGTGTTGCGCTTGTCTCTATGTAGTTTGGTGAACTGAAGGTCTAAAACAAGAAATTGCATACAAGGAATTTGTCACATAACAACACAACGGGGGGGGGGGAGGTGTCTCCAAGGAAATATTTGGTACAGTCCCCCTGCCAGTACGACGTCACGTCTCGCGTCAGTGACTTTCAAAATGGCGAGCAAAGTGTTCATCGAAGAGACGGATAAAAATTTCGATTTTATTTCGGGAATATTGTTCCGATTTCTTGGATTTGGAGATTTTATGGTTTCTATTGTCATAGAAAACTAGACTTAGGTACTTTTTTGGAATGAAATGTCCAGTGGTGTAATGAATTTTAAAGATTCCTTTCTATCGTCGAGCTAATTTTACGGGCAATCATGCCGATCGGTCACACTTTTGAGGGCCAGTTCACAGCAATATTGAAGAGTTTAGAAACAGCAATAGGAGGTTCTTCAAAGGATGTATTAAACTTTAAATTGTGCGTATTTTCAGCTCTTCAGAGCTAGTGGAACCCCGCATCATTCCTCTCAAAGTTCGCTTAGCTGTAGCGTTAAAAGAGGAAGCTGTATTTGTGAGAGACTGTGAGCACTGAATCTTGTTGCTTTACCGCATTTTAATACTGTATTGGGCATACACCTGTAACTCTGTAATTAAATCCCAAAAACCAATAACAGTTTTCATTTAATCATTTTTTTGGGGCAAACCCAGTGGAGATTTTAGGTTAATAATATTGATGATTAAGACGATGTACAAAAGGCAAGTTAAACTTTCGCCGGTGGGTCACTGGTGGGTGTAGTGGGTGTAAATTAGTACAGTTTGTGGTGTACTGTGTGTTTTTTGTCATGATGTTAACTAAAATTGAATTCAGCTGTTTCAGAGGAGGGACATGTCTTGACAGCTTATGGTTTTTTTCTGGTCGTTAGCTTGGCCAGTATGCAGATCAAGAGTTTTGGAAATCCCTTTTGCAAAATAAACTCCGGACTTACGCTTAAAATATATATTGATCCAAGTGCATGACCAGCAGGGTCAGCAGTAAGAATAAAGATAAAAAGGCCAAAAGGAAAAATAGTGTTAAAAAAAAGAGACAAACAGAAAAAAAACGGTACAAAGAAACAGAAAACAGCGTCGCCGGGAGTCGAAACCGGTTTATCTGCACGTGCAAGCAACTCCTTGACCACTGCACTCCAGCGACACACATGGTTTGAAAAAGTTAATTTTGTCAAATGAAAACAGTTCTTCTCTGCCATAGACAATGTTTGAAGCTGGTGGTGGAGCTATATTTATCATGAATTCAAACATACTTTGGAGGAAAATTAGCTCAAGCGCGTATTCCAAAGCTATTCCGCATTACTTCGGGTTCAACGAGCCGACTTGATGTATATAATCTATCGAACTAGCTTTACTGAATTTGGTGGAGCATTTGGAGAAAAACAGAGGCTCACAGTCGAAAGGAATGATATGAAGTTAGGCCCGTTTAATTAGCAAAAGAATAGCTGAAATATAAACATGTGTGATTTGTGAATGGAACCTCCTATTCTGGAGACTAGACCTTGCCCATTTTAGGGGAAAAAAAATAAAGTTTTGATGACCTTGCCGGTCCCGTGAAATAGATGGCGATCCCGCAAAACGGCCCACAAAACGAATTAACAAAATTCATGAAAATTATACAATCACGGACACAAAATATCACAAGCAGAATATAGCAACACCAAAGCTCACAAACGTTTGATCAAATAAGCGATATATAGCGATATTTGCGAGCATCTCAGCTTTTCCTCGACCTCGCTCGTCCAAATAACTGTTGTATCTCTTGCTAGTTTGCACAAGCGATCCGAGGCTCTTGCCCGTTACTATGTGACGTCATAATGGCAGGCGGAGTGGGTCAAGAAACTTAGGTGGAAAACAATAGAGTTATCTTATCCCCCCTCTCCCCCTGGGGGCACCCAACGAGAATATAATTGAAAAATACTTAAAACGTATTTTAGTATTTAAACGGTAGATATAGGCATATTTTTATCCCGCCCAAAAAATATTTCATCTGTTCGGGTTTCCTAGCTGAAAGTCTAGTGGTCTGAAAATTATAGGGATCAAAACTTGCCTTTTCGAAAATTTAAGCCAGAAAACATGGCTCCCGAAAATTCTTGGTGAACTTTTTAGTGTAAAAATTGGGTGCCCCTGATTGTTCAAGGAGTCAGTCAGCCTCCATGGTTTGGTCATTAATTGAAATAACTCAGGACAAGGGGGCAGAAGATTACAATCGACTTCAGGCAGTTTTAAAGGTACGAGTATTTGTTGGACAAAAATGTGGTCTGTAATTTGTTAGAAAATTGTAATTTTCTCGCCCTGTGTTGAATTTCATTTGCACGTGCTCCTAGACTCATTATATATTCAGTTTCGTTTGTACCTTCGGGGCACTTGATAGAGATTAAAATGTCTGTTCAGTAACCGCTTGAACGGGTGGTTCGCCGTGTTATTACATGGTGGCGGCGGTGGCCGTTTCTGCTTCGTTTTTTTATTAGTTAAAACCGTCTACGTTATACAGCATGCCCGATGGTGATACCTCCAATGGACAGTCTGGTGCAGTAGCGCCGCCATCGTCGACTTTTCATCAGATTACTCCGCCGAAGTAGCTTGACTTGAAACATAGTGGAGAAATTCCCGAAAACTGGAAGCTTTGGAAGGAGAAATATGACAATTATTTTGTCATTTCTCGTTTGGATCGGGAAACCCCGGAGTTTCAGTTGGCGATGTTCAAACATACGATCGGAGATGATGCGTTGAAAGTCATCAAAACATTCAACTACGCCGAGGGGGAGAACTCGAGTGATTGGCGCGTTGTAATTTACGAACGATACTGTTTTAATATGCGAGACAAGCTTCCAACGGAGTCGGTTGATAGTTTTGTTGCCGAGTTGAGGAATCTGGCCAAAACATGTAATTTTTGCGATTGTTTGGGGGATAGTTTAATCCGTGATCGTTTTGTGCTTGGAGTTAAAAACGAGCAGACGACCAAGAAGTGGCTGAGAATGAGAGATCTTACTCTGAATCGTTGCATCGACGTGTGTCGCAGCGAGGAAGTTGCTGAGTTGCAAATGAAGTTGTTATCTGGGCCGGTGGATAACATTGATCAAGTGAAGTCAAGTTCTAAAAAGCCTCGAGCTCCAACGCCGGTGGACGGGCGGTCGGCAAAGAAAATTTCTTGCAAATTTTGTGGCTATGACCATCAACCTGATAGGAAGATGTGCCCTGCATGGGGAAAGAAGTGCAAGCGATGCAAGGAAAAGAATCATTTTGCCAAGAAGTGTAAGAAAGTTCCTGTCCATAATATTGAGAGCGAAGAGGAGTTAGAGGAGATCAGCGTTGTAAGAGTACAGGCTTTGAGAGGGAGAGCTGTGTATGCGAGAATGCTGGTTAGGCAGCAACCGGTGCAATTTCAAGTTGATTGTGGTGCAAGTGCAAATATTTTACCTCTGAAGTATGCTGAGGCGAGGAACTCGACTCGTCTTCGCAAACGCTTGTCATGTGGAATGGAACTAAAGTGACGCCTGTCGGTTCCTGTGCGTTGCCTGTTGTGAATCCGAAAACTAATGAGAAGTACAAGGTCCGGTTTCTAGTCATGAAAGAGGATTTTACCCCTCTGCTTGGCTTAAGGTGGCTCCCTTGAGTATTTACTAATAATCCGAGCTATCAAGTATACGTTACAGAAGGAAATCTAGTTACTTTGTCTTTTCGATTTTGTTCACGAGATTCACCGCCAAGGTTACCCATATAAGAAGGCTCCTTTATCAAGTTTCATTTTCTGGATTAAGTCCGTTGCCATGGAAACATCGCATCCTTAAACAGGCAGTAATTTTGTCATTTTTGCCCATTTTTCCTTGATATTTCTAATTTCCCGCGGTGAAATGCCTTTAAACTTTGCCACTTTATATTAACGATATTGCGTAACATTTTAAAGTGGAAAAAACATGGGGTTGTTAAGACGGTTTTGCCAATATTTTGAAATTTGTAATTTTTCTTAATAGAGGAGTTTAGCTCTTACAGATTTTGACAAAAAAATGACAGTACAAAGGTACTGCGACTGTTAAGAAATGAGGCGATTTTTAAAATAATTTACCGAAGGAAACGCGAGAAATTCACGGTTAATTAACTGCGCTGACGTCACAAAAATCCGAAAAACACGCGTGGTTCGGGGTCGTGTGAGCAAAATACGCGCGCGAGCCATCACGCCTGCATGCGCATAATGCACAAAGCTACTGAAAACATGTTGTTTCTTTGAAGAGTACGAAAGCCATTGTTTTGAAGCCGTATATTAGTATCATTACGGTGATATCTCGCCAGTTGAAAAAGGAGGGATAGCGGATTCAATTTTATACCTAACACAGGATGTTTTCTTCGAAGTACTTGACTATTGTAGCTAAAATTCGAAGCGTGGTGGTCACTCGTGAGGATGGCGATCGTCGGCGATGAAGACGGTGGTTGTGCAAGGATCGCAATAAGCCCTTCATTTCCTAATCTGTTGTACACTGACTGCAGATCTTTAAATGTTAGCCCACTTCCGGATACTTTTTCAACCTTCTTCTTCTTTAGGGATAATTTCGACGGCGAAGTTTTTCTTTAAAAGTCTGCTGTAAAAGATGGCGCCGATCTATAAATCGTACATCATGTCCTCAGCTACATGTACAAGACCGTAGGTCTCGACGGACAACTATTGCTTTCGTCAAGGGTCAGTCTGTGAGTAAAAATTATTTCTCGTTGTGCAAAAACATTGTCCATTTACTTCGACTATTTAACGTTTGTCTACTTTTGAAGCGAAAGAATTGATGTCTTTGGAAAATTTCTTCTTTGTTTTTACGTACAATTTACTCTTTTGGGGATCGATAGTGACTTGTAACCGGTGTAACATTGTCTCCTCTCATAAACGTTTGACCTACACTAATCAAACTTTTTGCACAATGAGCTTCAATAGAAAGCTAGTAAAGTTTTTTTGGGGGAATATTTCGAAACTGTGAGGCCA